GATATTCCCCTTAAAATATTCGCCAGTGTACAACTTAAAGATTTCAAATTCAGTTTTCAGGTATATGTGGCTCTCACGTGTGGGCACGCGGAGTTCTGGCGGAAAAATTGTTCATTGAGCAATTAGATCACTCTCAAAAAAAGACTGTTAAATGGAAATTATTCATTTCCTTTATGAAAAATTGGCGATGATTTGTGTTATAGGGCGCAAAAGGTAAGTGCAAAGCAACAACCATTCATGCGGTTAACGGCCTAATTCAAGTCTCGTTCTAAAGCGTACGACCGCAACGGCAAGCCTGCTGCATTTTAATCTAGGCCTTAATTTGCAAACATGACCGTGCTTTTCCTAAATCCGGATTCTGGATGATTATTTATTAACGCATTTGTCGCAACGCATGAGTGGCTCCGCGCCCAAGTTTTGTTTTGCACTACTTCAAGGTGCATTTAGCACAAAATTTAAAGTAGAACGACATGTAGCCTTAAGATACATCTTGTAGTACTGTCCAAGAGCACATAATGTCCTTTTTGTGCTGAAGCAGTGGTGCAAGACGCATATTTTCAGGATCTTACGTGTGTGCGTATTGGTTAATTTGTGTGCCTGCATGTATTGGAATTTTTGTCCGGGGTTCCCAACTCAAGAACCAAATAAGCTAGAAACTGGAGTTTCAAGAGAACGTCCCCTGCCCATGCTCAACCTTGGAAATTTTAGTTCACTTCCTACGTGCTCCACATTTCACGTATTGATACAAGTAATTTGTAGCAAGAAATTTTCTGGCTCAGTAATAATAACAACATTTCCAGATTTTTCTACACATATCAAATTGTAAAGCAGTAATACTTTTAGCAGCAATCTTCAGATGAACAGAATTGTCAGATACCCTGATGCGCGCCATTTATTGTATCAAGTTCAAAAAAATTTCTAAGCATTTTCAAGTGATGCTTGGAGTTTAATGCAACCCTGAGGTAATTTTTTGTTGAGATGAGCAATTTATAGTTTAGCACCACTGCCGGCGACGTGCGTCTGTTTTAGTAGCACTGCGAGCAATTTAAAGGTATTTTCCTTGATTTGCAACTTTTTTTGGGTCACCAACTCCATTTTAAAAGATAGGGCTGAACTGTGCTCAGTGGGGTTTTTAGGTCTCCAAACCAGAAGAAATTTTGTGCCATCAACAAAATCCTGTTCTGCTTACTGGGACATCTCGCTAGTTATTATTCAGGGAATTAACGTCCAAATAGTGATGTGGGA